GTGTGTGTGTGTGTGTGAGAGAGAGAGAGAGGGGCAGCCCGCTTTGTCTGCATCCCCTCATTTTTTTAGACGCAGAAGCAGCTGTTGTGTGTTTGACTGAATGCAATGAAAAGATCTGCCGGAATTTTTATTTTCTTTTATTTATTTTTTTAAATAAAGCCTCTAGAATAAAAGCTTTTGTCTCGTGCGCGTTGGGCACGCTTGATTTCTGCACACATTGTTTACAAAAAAATAATAATAATGCAGAAAAGGAGGCTTTGTTTGTCCGTTTGCTTCAGCTATTTCTAAAAATTTAATAAAGTGAAATTATTTATTTATTGTATAATTTAGAAAATACATTTCTGAGGGTTTCTGGCTTTGATGGGAGCTGATGGGAGGTGGGGACCTGGAGGGGAGGGTCTCTTTATGAACACTATTTAAAAAAAAAAATAAACATTTTGTTTCAGGGAGGTGAAGTCTTGTCAGGATTGATTCTTCGTTCTTTCTTCCAGAAAACATTTATTATTGTAACGTTTAAAAAAAAACTGGGCTCTGATAATTCATCAGGGTATAATCAGACGCTGCCATCATCACTCAGAGAGGATGTTTTATCTGCAGGTTTTTCTTCCTGTTTGATTTGATGACATCTTTTATAACATGTTTGGAAGCGGTGACACGTCAAACATCTCATTTGATGGAAGCGGGGTAATTTGTCATCAGGTCTGTCTGGATTTTTTTTCTTTATTTTTTTTTTCAGAGATTGTTATTTAATTTAGTCTATTTTTTCACCCCTTCCTTGTTTGGCTTCCATAAAACTGACTTCCTGGTCCTGTTTCACATGAGATATTAAGATTGTTGCTCTGTGGGAATTGGTGCTAAAATCATTTCATTTCATAAAATTAATGCATCAAACTGATGTTATTTTTCATGTTAAACAGAAACTTGTGTCTTTATGACAAGATGGCTCATAACTAAAAGCCTAATTAAAAAAATAATTGCAACCCATGTATTTAACACGTTATTTTTAAACAGGGATTGGTAGCTTAAATCAGTGTTTCCCAAAGTTGGGGTCGGGACCCAAAGTGGGGTCCCGAAACATCAAGGTGGGGTCCTGAAAAGATTTTCTGAGTTAATTACATTTTTGCCTTAGTTGTTACAAAGGAGTGAGGT